CTGCCTTAGGAGGTGATTTGACTGTCCAACCCTTGAGCCAACTTGAGCAACTTGAAGATTATTCTTGACATGTCTTGAGGAATATGGGAGGGAAAATTTTGGGGTACAACACAAGTATTTCTCAAACTTATATCTCCTTATTTTGGAATCATTAGGCTTAGGTTTGTGAAGAAAAAATGTAGTCCTCATTGTCCTTGAGTTGTACATATGCATAGAATTCATTTATGTTAACTGAGCTAGGAGTATTTGATAGTTGAACTTTCTGAAAAAACTAGGTCAAGATTTAGGGCCAATGAAATTCTCTCTGGTCTTTGAGAGTTAGATTAAGTTTTTTACATGGTTAGAATCGTGTGATCAAGAGCTATAACTTTCATGTTGCAAGTTTTTGTTTTTAAGCACAAATGCAGGAGATACGAATTTGAACAAGGCGCGCGTATTTTCTTTCCAAGGACAGGGATAAAGTGTGACATTGGGCTGGGCCTGACTGTTCCTTCCTATTGACACCCCCCTGCTTGTTTTCTGCACCTCTTTGGCTGAACTTTTTATATTTTTTATATTTTCTTCATATTTTTATATTTAATACTTCCATTTATTTTTCTTAATGATAAAAAATACCAAAAATAAATTTCTTTATTTTTGCAATTTTATTTTATTTTATTTTTTTATAATTTTTTTACATAAAAATTAGTTTATTTTGATAAATAGATTTTATTTTCTTAAATAATTTGTAAATATAATAAAAAAATACTTAATATTTTTATTATACTATTTATACTCATAAATAATTATTTTTATATATATTTAATTTTTAATATTTAAACATAATATTATTTATCATTTTTTATACAAAAAATGTACAAAATAATAATATGAAACATTATTTTCTTTGAACAAAAATTAGGGTTTCATCCCTTCCAAAAAATAATACTTTTTTTCCTTTTTCTAGGGTTTAAATTAAATTATTTTTCACACAAAAACAAAACACAAAAACATTTTTTTAACATTAACATTGCATTGCATTTTAAATATTTGTCTTATATTTATTTAATTCGCGCAATATTCGATTTGGTTGTAATAATGTATTTAGGTTTATATTTGTGCAAAATCCCCATTCAAAACTTGTATCCCCCCTCCCATAATAATTGTTGTAATAGCTTAGTTTATTTTACGCAATTTATCGCTTTATATACTATGCTTAGTAATTAGGGTTTGCATGACAAGAATGTTGCACCCCAAAATTTTCCCTCCTAATTGCATTTTTATGCTGGCTTGGACTTTGTATTCATCTGCATCATTCCAATGGGTCATTTGCATAGCACGCATTTTTCATAAAATAGATCGCCTGAGGCTCAAAAGATCAGCAGTTAGGAAGATAGGGTTTACAGCTGACTTGAGGTGTATGTGTTGAATAACTTTGATTATCCAGGGCCTTCCCGGTGTACAAGGTTTTGGAATTAAGGTTTTGGTTCAGGCTAATTTTTGGACTTCTTCTCCACCAAGTTACAGGGCTAATATCTTTTGATGAACAACTGGTTGTAGGTCATTCTGGTCAAGAACTCCAGGGCATGATCTAGCATATGTGGGCTTCGAATCATGGCGTCTTTTCATATAAGTATGTTTATCATTTGATTAGGATTAATGACTGTAACATGACATTCATCTACTCCTCAGTTAATCAATTTAGGTTTTGTTGAATCATGGTTCAAAGATGTTTTATCCGGATATTTCTTTGTGCATCTAAACGGGGAATCAAGATTGTGAGGTGTGGTTAACAGGATTTCTTTCTTTTCAAGATATAATTGCTTTTATCCAGTCGTGGCAAGTACTGGGGTTTTCATTTATGTGACTAGTGTTTCACGTCAAGGGAATTCTTCTGTGATTCAGACTTTATCATCCATCTGTAAGATGTTTCTCATGACACTAATTTCAAGCTGAAATAACCGATCGCTAAGGGCCGGGGATTGAATTGTGAAGCGTGGTTCATGACCTGATATGAATTCACAAACTTCTCCTTAACCAAGGCAATCATTGTCCTCATCATTGTCATTTGTTATCTGCGACGCGAGTAGGTTTGGATTGAAGTAGGTTTCTCATAGAAGAATCCATGCAAAGTAATTCAAGGTTCAAGGCATTCAAGGCATGGTTTTGTTCAACATGGCATACCTGGTTGATGGGCTTACAAGCTCTTATGAGACCTTGAGATGCATAATCATGGGCCAAGTTCAAAGATATGTGGATAAGATCTGTTGACTTCGGTTAAAGTAAGCTTTGAAAAATTAACTTTGGGACCAAGGTCTCCCTTGAACTTTCATCTAATATGTGTTAGGCATTCGAGTTGCATTTGAAGAATGGTATGGTAAAGGAAAAGAAATATTGGTTCAGAAAAGGAAAATTTCATTAAATCAGGGTTTCTATTCGTTGATAAATGTTCAAGTAATTGAAGATCAGGGGAAATAAGGTTTCATATTAATCTTGATCATATTCTTTCATTATCATTTACGTCCATCTTTGATGATTTAAGGTCATCAATTAGGGAAGGACTTTGTCAAGATAAGAGACTTGTGGATTGAATCGTGGAATATGAGGCATGATACAAAAGGCAAGGTTGTGAATTTTTTAGGATCAAGATCTTATTGTCTATTCAAATTACTTATCATACAAGTTGATTTGGATTCAAGATTGAAGTTAGGAGTTCATTGAGAATGCAAGTGTGAATTAGGGTTTCTAATCCTTGGTGTTCAGATCTGATTTGGTTTTCATTTGAGGCGTTCTCTTCATCGTAATCAAGTCGTGGCCATCTTGGTCATATTTCTTTTTGTATCCTCACGTTCATTTCCAAGTTGTTCTACGAGGTCATCTAAGGGCTACTAAATCAGGCATTCATTATCCCCTTGTGCTCAATGCCCTCCTTTGATTAGAGTTTATTTCCCTACGCTTGGGATTGTTGGATGAATTTGGCAGGACAAATAGTCAGAGGTTCTTCGTCAATGACCAGCTAGGATTTTCTTTCGACCTTTCTTTGTAAGTCGGATGGGGGAGCTTATTACTTAAGTCACGAGCTATGTGATCAGAAACTTCATACAGAAGACAAATCTGGTTATACTGGTGCCCGTTTTACCATTTGATTTTTGTTTATCATTGATTCAAATAAATTTTTTCATTTAGCTATGATTGATTGAGAATCAAGATGTTACGTTGCTTAGGCCATATAAGTTATCTCTTTGGTTCCCACACAAGGCTTTGAGGTGAACGTGGTGTATTGGATCACAGTTGCGTCCAAGATTTTGATAATATCTTACTTGGGTTCCTTTGATTGACTAAGAGTGTCCAATCTCATGGTGCGTTGTATTAAAGGATGCAATTTGAGGCAAAATTTGAAAGGTTAAAAGAAGCTTTTGGAGGGAAAGAAAGATTCAAGTCATATTTCATCTCCAAGATACCAAGTATCACAAAACTCATCCAAGAAATATTGAAGAATCCGAATAAAATACAACAATATGAAAGCAAGGTTCAAGATTGAAAATTGGAGAAAATATTATATGCTTGAAGATTCATTCAAATTAAAGCAAATGAAGGGAAAAATTCAAATCTATGTTTGAGAAAGAGAACATTACATTTCCAAAGCACTAGTCTATTATAATTTCACTTCCTTCAAGTCACATTGCAAGTTCTATTACAAAAATTCAATACCAGATTATAACTCACTACACCATCTTACATTACATCATTGAGCAAAATATACAAAAAAAAATACAGAGCTACTTCCTACACTAAATTCCATCTTCATCATTTTGCCATCATGATCCTTTTGTATGCTACATTGCCAAATACCATGTCAATGACCAAAGATGCACTGAACCTGCAAACATTCTAATAACAGGTCATCATTCAAGCAAAAAAAGTGAAAAAAATCCAAGAAACTGCTTTTAGCTTTTCTTATTCAAGAAACATGGCCACTTTGAATAGCACACAACCACATGTTCAACCGCAATCTCTCCACGTTCAGGCACAAGATTCACGATTTACAAACACAGCAACAGTTACGGGACAAGCAGTGAAATGGTTTTTTTCAGATTCTTTTTTACATGCAACTGCTCTTGATTTCAGCCTTGGTGATTTTCATCACCAGGAATTCTTGGTTTCACATGGCAATGTATCATTGCATGTTACCCGAAAAAGGCACTCATAGCAGTATTTTGGTTGAGTCCGCTGTTAACATTGGTAATGGGAATTTTGTTTATGTTAATCGGTTCTGCATGGAGTTAGATACCTGGTTTAGTTTCCTTGTTATCTGCAGCAATTCAATCAACGTATGGATTATGGGTCAATAACAATAACAGATTCAAATATGCCACTGAAATGTTTCAAGATTCGATATCTTATCCTCCTGCTAACAAACTCTATAAGTATCTTAACCAATTCTCATCAATCTCCATATAACAGAACCTATAAGTAACTTTCTAACTAACAACTTTCTAACTAACTTCTAACAAAATTTCTAATTCCCATAACTAATTTCCAACAACTTACTAACAACCTACATAACAGAATTTTCTAACTGCATCCTAACAGTTTCTAACTACCTAACCAATTCTCAGCAATCTATATAACAGGGTCCAGTTTCAGATTTAGGAGGGAGATTCATTTTTTTTTAACTCTACAGAATAGATAAAAATATAAAAAATTTACCAATTCAGATTGATTCTGCAATTCTGCAGAAGAGCCTCCATAAACCTCTTCCTTCATCACCCTCTTTCATCTTCAATGAGCTTGATATCACAACCTCGATGCTTCAATCATTATCAACTCTGCATCGCGTTTCTCACTGCAAAACTAACGTAAAGTATAAATTCCTCACATCAGTCTTGATTCAACCATCATCACCGAGTTTTCAACATTACAACTTTGTTCAAAATTGCAAGAACAGAAGAAGAATGGAATGGAGGATTTACCTGATTTGTAACTGGATTTCTGGTCATTGCAACACTGTCAAAAGCGTATCAAATGGGTCCTGGTTGATCTTTCGCGAACTCTCCCTTTAGTCTCCATTCTTCGTGGTTTCCACCCTCATCACTGAGCTTTGAGTCTCGTTTCTCTGAATTCATCATCAATCGTGTTTCTCAAAATAACAGCAGGTACAGAAGATAAAGAAAAATCAAGAAAGGATAGCAAGAAAAAGAAAATCAGAAGCACGAGAAGAAGGAGAAAAAGAGAGGAATAATAGACACATATACACATAAAATTCAGAGTAAAAATTCAGAAACTTACCAGTATGTTTCGTTCTTCTAATTTCTAAGAACAGGGACGCATCTACGCACTCTCTTCTACGACCTCCACCTTCAATCTTCACCCTTCTCTCTGTAACTCAGAAACTCCCCTCAGCGTAACTCCAATCCCGACATCAACTCTACATCATCTTCAACTTGCACTGCAACAGCATTAATGCGCCAACGGATCACATCATCATCAATGAATCGTGAAACCGAATTTGAGAATCCTCAGTGGAGGAGTTGAATCGAAGAAAATGGTGGAGGTAAATCGGTGTTGCGAACCAACTAAGTTAAATTGACGGTATGAACCATGAACAAAGTGGCGCGTGATAGAAACTCAAAGGAGAAGTGAGTTGAAGAGACGATGGAGTGACATAGTATGAAGAAAGCAGAAGGGAGATCGCCGGTGATGGAAGGCATTCGCGGCGCTGTGAGTGTAGCGAGGCGAAGAAGAAGAAGATGGCGGAAGGGATGTGTGCACCGCGAAGAAGAAGAGAAAAGCTCAGTCTTCCTAACCTTATTCCCTTCTCAATTTTCATGTTTTCTTTAATTTTATTAGTTTTAATTTATTTTATTATTTTTTAATAGCATAACAATAAATAACTAAACCAAATTCAATAAATATACAAAATTGGATTGGGTTGTTGGTGCATTTGAGGCTGGGCCGATCTGCTCCCTGACTAGGCCCATCACTTTTTTGGTGGTCTTTTATTTGCAAAAAGAAAATTACTTGTGGACTCACTACTTGGGCCTAGCGTCCCTACTAAGCCACACTCCCTGATTTCAACACTATACCCTCTGACTTCACCTCTCATTTAAATATTTGGTTTAATTTTTTTTCCTCCTATTAATTGTTGATTAATTGGCGATAGGATGATACAAAATAATAGAATATTTTAGAACTCTTTAGAATTTCTTTTTAGAATTTCGATTAGAAATTTTTTACTATTTTATTTTTCATATTTGGTAATCATTTTTATTGCCATTTTTAGTCAAGATTTTTGTGATAGTATCGATGTAACTCTTGTAATGTGGAATGCTCGGGGTTAATTCTTCAATCACTCGTTCAAGGAAACTTTGGTAGAATTTTCTTACCGCTTGCACAGTTTCGAAGAGGCAACGGACCTCCTCCGTTCGGTATCGTCACAACCCTATTTTATTCTTCATTTCTGTACTTTACTGTAATCCATGTGCATGCTAACATTAGGTAGATGTTTCCCTTTCATTCATCCTTGACATATGACCACCAATGCATGATAAAATTAGGTTTAGAAATAGACTGGTCTCCCTGTGACCTTTCTTTCCCTTTTTGCATATGCATCAAAAACAAAAACTCTTTTTTTCAAACTTCAAAAATACATAAAAATTTACTGACAAGAATCATGTCTTTGCTAAGTTTGGGTAGATGATAAGCGGGTTTCTTCTCGATCTTATTATTCTCTTATTCTAAGGCTTGGCATGATTCAAGTCTCAAAGAATCCTTTCAGGAATGAGTAGAGAAATGACTAAAATATCTCCCTTGAGATTAACTAGTTATTCTCTACAAGCAAAAAACACCAACAAACATAAAATTCTTTTTTTGCCTTCGGGCCTTCCTCTCAAACTCTTTTCAAAAGAGCATGTTAATTCACTTTTGTGCTGACGCGTAAATCTCCAAAGGTCGATTTGCGGCAGAAGGCGAAATTAATATCGTTCATTTAAAACACAAACAAATTCAAACCTTTTTGTGCGCCCAAGCATATTTTCTCCAAATCTTTTCAAAAGAGCATGTTAATTCACTTTTGTGCTGACGCGTAAGTCTCCAAAGGTTGAGTTGCGGCAGAAGGCGAAATTAATATTGTTCATTAAAAAAATACAAACCAACAAAAACACATGAGCCGAACTACGGCTGCTCTGATTCCTTAAAAGGGATACGTAGGCATCAGGGTAGGGCCCGAACGAGCACAACTTTTATTTTCCCTACATTCTTTTCTCCTTCCTTTTGCATGCATTCTCCTTTCCATAGCAGTAATAAACAAATAAGTATAGATTAAAAAAAAAACACCCATAAGATAGATAACAAGAGTGGATACCGTAGAGTACTACGGGCGTGTGGGGTGCTAATACCTTCCCCTCGCGTAATAGACTCCCTTACCCTTATCTCTCGGTCGCAAGACCGTGACTTCTCCCTTCTCAGGTTTTCTCGATGTTTACCTTTCCCTTCCTGTGGGATAAAAGACGTTCAATGGCGACTTCATTGTTTGATGATTTTCAGCCGGTTGTTTCAAAGAACAAAAAACAAAGCAAAATAGAAAACCCTAAATGCAAGACAAAAGCATGAAAATGACACAAATTGCACACAAGCACCCTTAGGGTTTCTCCCACTTGGTTGCCTAAAATAAAATGGCCATGTTACGCATGCGAAGTATCTTGGCAAAACAAAACAAAAATAAGATCATAGTCCCTCGATGACGCTATTCAAAGGTTGCCTAAAACAAAATGATCTTGGTCCCTCAAAAATGCTAAGATACTTGGCAACATTGCTATCATGGTTATACGATGACCCACGCCCGTCCCGTTTACATCCAAAGATATGTGTACTTACCAAATCAATGGTAAGTCAACAATGTCAAAGGAATAAAAATGCACAAGAAGACAGTTGAGTAGGTAGATAGCTTCTAAGTTACTTGCTTCATTTCAAAACAATCCTTGATATTTTCAAAAACAAACACACACACATTTCAAAACATCTTACAAAACATTGAAAACATTTTCAAAAGACAAACATCTTTGTATACATTCTTACGAACGAGAATCATTACCAAGATTGCCTAAACGAATGGCCTCTTTTACAAAATACTTTCAAAACCACACACAAAATCACCATTTCAAACAATTGAAAAGCAAAAGCAAGTGATCTAAAACAAGTAACTAAGAGCCCATGGAAAACCATGGATGAAAAGGGTGTTAGCACCTTGCCTTTTCATAATCTACCCCCCGAACCCAAAAACAATCTCAAAGGTCTTTCCTGTGCTTTTTGACCTTTCCTTTGGATAAAATAAAAAGTCGGTGGCGACTCTTGTTAAACCAAAACATTTGCGAACACAAACGCAAAACCTCAAGTCAGTTCTCCCACCGCATCACAGAACTGGTGACTCTGCTGGGGAAGATTCTAAAAGTGGGGTTACCTTAGGGTTTAGATCACCTTTACTTGCTTATCTTGCTTTACATTTGGTTCTATTGTTTGGGTTTGAATCCTCTACCCAGATTTGGGAAACATTCATAGGTAAATAGCAATACGTTATGGAAACTGTGCGGGGTATACTGACATGGTTGAAGCAATAGCTATATTAGTGCGACATATTTGTGGGTACCGGTAGCCTTTGAGTTAATCAAAGAGAATACGGGGCCGTTGAGTGATGTCATGAAGCACTAATGGACTTTTAGAACCTTTACTTGACCATCTTGGCCTTTTTAGGGGTAGTGAGATGACCGGCTTTGGTGCAGTCCGAAGTTGGTAGATACTCGATACTACACTCATTGAGGGTTGTTTTCTTGGAATATTTTGGTCGCCAGTAAAGTGGCTAAACTGAAACAATGAACACAGAAAATAATCCAGTGATATTGAGCTTCTTAGAACCCGATTACTATTTATAAGACAAGTTGAGCCAACTAAACTTCAAGAGGGTACTTACCTATGAAACCCCATGCAAGCCCGAAACTAGGATCTTGTGTGACTTGTTTGTACATATATACTTGTGCATAACATCATAAACATCATGAAGCATCATATGCATCCACTAACCATTTCAAGGATTTGGATCTTCATCTTTGTTCCTGTTTTGTAGGTAATGGATTCACTTCGCATGAAAACTATCCAAGTCAACCTTATAAGAATTCCTCCTCAACTCAAGGAGCTAGCTTCAAGGATTCATGAGAATTCTCCATTCACCGAGAGGCATGGTGGTCTTCTCAACTTAGTCAACACTAACACTGAGGAAGACATGGTGAAAGTTCTCTTCCAGTTCTTTGACCCCCTACACCACTTCTTCACATTTCCTGATTACCAGCTTGTGCCTACTTTGGAGGAATTTTCTCAACTCCTGAGGATTCCTATTCTCCATCAACTACCCTACAACGGTACGGAAAGAGATCCAAAGCCTGAAGATGTTGCTCAAGCCCTACACTTGCAACCATCTGATATCATAGGCCATTGGGAAACTAGAAGTGGTGTCAAGGGTTTCTTGGCAAAGTTTCTGTTTGAGAAGGCCCAAAGCTGCTGGAATTCATTGGACTTACAAGCCTTTGAGGAGATTGTAGCTCTTCTCATCTATGGGTTGGTCTTGTTCCCTAAACCTGACCAGCTTATAGATGTAAGTGCTGTCAAAATTTCCATGGCTCGCAACCCGATGCCTACATTACTTGGGGATATCCTTCACTCATTTCACACTCGAACAATGAGGAAAATAGGTGTTCTCATGTGTTGTACTCCTCTTCTAGCAAGGTTATTTATTTCTCACCTTCCCCAATCAGTCTTGAAGAATGAGCAAGGCTTGAGGTGGTCACAACAATTGATGACTCTTACACATTCAGATGTTCATTGGTGTTCTCGATCCAGAGAAAATGTTATCATCATTGATCGTTGTGGGGAATTCCATAATGTCCCTCTACTAGGAATTAGGGGAGGCATTACCTACAACCCTTGATTGGCTCTGAGACAGTTTGAGTATGCCCGAAGGAATGGCCCACGTGTGTTTACCTCGGGATTTGGTAAACAACCGCTGATCCTCCAAATGGTTACTTATTTGGTTACTCGCAGGATCGATCAGATTGATCCTATGGACATAGGTTGATTTTGAAGTTTAATTAATGTGGATAAGGCTTTAAGTAAATTGTTTAAAGTAAATTGCATAAAGGAAAGGCTTGGTAAAATAAACAAGGCTTGAATGTAAAGGTTCGACAGGAATCTTAAAGGGGAAAAGCATGTAAAATACTGGAAAAGTAAATGACTTGAATTGATAAAATTGGTGTTTCACACATACATTTCTCAACAATTCGTTCGCTCACACTGGGTACTTGAATCTAAATGAGTGACTATGTATCTATTGTGAACACACGCGAGAAACTACACGTCTACTCCTATTTATACAAAAACATTCCAAGTAACCGTCGGGAAGTTACACTGCTTCGAGATCAAGCCACTTGGCACGTTCTCCATGCTCGACGCTCCAGATCCTTGCACGTTTGCACGTAGTAACTGCTGGAAACCGTTTTCCCTCCAAAGCTTTGAATTTCAAACTGTTCCACTCTGGATCATCGAACACCTTCATCAAGAGACGTCTTCGACGAAAACTCCTTCGACGTCGAAGGCAATGAGCCTTCCTCCTTGGAAGAAATCTTCTAAGTTATTTTGCCATCTTTCGACGGGCACTTCGACAAGCTTAGCCAGTCGAAAGCATCTTTCAGCTTTTAATGGCTGCCATCAATTAAAACAAAGGTGTCGAATTTAGGAGCCAACAAATTGCCCCCCAAGAATGCCTTATTTCGACTCTGAAAGAAA